CCCTACAGATTCTTAACTGCTCTAACTGATAAATTCCAAAAGAAGTAACTTAAAATCCAAAAACAAAAAAGGGTCTTCACCTTCTCAGGAAGCGGAGCTGTGTTTCCTTCATCGTCAGCTACAGGTACTTGACCGCCACTATCGCATTCATCCATCTTCTTGCCGCCAATACCTTCTCTCAAACCCCTAACTTTTTCCTCTCTCGCTTCAACCTTAACCAACGGCGTCGCTTCACCGCCGCTCTTCACAGCACCGTCGGCGACCCTCTTCTCACCGTCTCCGATCACGTTCCCGCACTCCCCAGAAACGATCGCCTTCTGGTCCTCCGCCGCCGCCGCCGCCCCCGCCGCTCTTGTCTGCCGCCGGGGATTCCTCCTAACAGGTGCTTGAAACGGAGCAATCGGGTTCGGGTTTCTCTGGGCCCGATTTCTGCGAGTGTTGCTACGCAGCTCAGGCATCGTAAGATCTTCGTCGGTCGTGGTCCATGGAAAGATCGAAAATCACTCACGAAGCTTCGAGAATCATCCAAAACACAAATCGATGAATGAATTCGAGAAGAAACAAGAAATGACGCGTATGAAGGGGTTTTTTATCCAAATAACACATGGTCGCATCTATTTCATGTGTACACCACCGAAAACATAACACATTTTTTTCCCTGTAAAAAGACGAAATTACCTTAATGAATTACGATATTTATCCGTTCGAAAACAACTTCGTTATTACAACTTCATAATTAAGTCTAAATATAGTTACAATTGATTCTAAAAAAGGTGGCAAAAAATCATCTGTCTTATTTTTAGTTGTATATCAGTTATATGTTAGTCGTAATAAAGTCGCAAAAAATAAAACGAAAAGGGTATTTCAGACTTTTCCCACCGAAAAGTGGGTTAAAATTGAAAAAAAAAATTCTTTTTTTTTTTGGGTGGTGTACACTGAAATACATGCGACCCAAGTGGGTTATTTGGGTGATTTTCCAGCGTATGAAGACAAAATCGGAGTCAGATTCGAACCGAATCGATGGAGAAAGAGATTTCTCGAGACTTAATGAAGCTGCATTGTATCAAAAATACCCTTAAAATACTACTTCAACTTCAACTTCAACACCTAGCCTGACCGTGAGCAATGTGATCGAAATATAGTGTGATCACATATTGATCTCATTGTTCATAACGTTAAATTTATGATGTTTTAATCAAATGATTAGTAAGATATACAAGGTATGAACATAATGAATTAGTGGGCATTATATAAAAAATACCCTTAAAATGCTACTTCTACTTCAAGACCTACCCTGATCACATGTGACCAATGTGACCGAAATATAGTATGGTCACATTTTGATTTTTATCGATTATAACGTTAAATTTATGGTGATCACACTAATTCATTATGTTCATACCTTGTATATCTTATTAATCATTTGATTAAAACATCATAAATTTAACGTTATGAACAATGAGATCAATATGTGACCACACTATATTTCGGTCACATTGGTCACATGGTCACAAGGGTAGGTCTTGAAGTAGAAATAGCAAATTAAGGGTATTTTTGATAATGCCCCGAATTAGTGTGATCACCATAAATTTAACGTTATAATCGATAAAAATCAAAATGTGACCATACTATATTTCGGTCACATTGGTCACATGTGATCAGGATAGGTCTTGAAGTAGAAGTAGCATTTTAACGGTATTTTTGATAATGACCCTTATGAAGCAGATGTCTGTGTCTGATGAAATTGAGGATTTTTGGAGCAGACTTGGGCATTATCAAAAATACACTTAAAATGCAACTTATACTTCATGGCCTACCCTTCCCTTAGAAAAAAAAAACATCAATTCACGTATATCCTTTTCATTCACGTATATCTTTTTCATATGTACAATTTTCATTATACCTTTATATTATAAAACAAATAAAATTAAAATAAATAAAAATAATAATTTCTCTCCTAAAAAACAGTGTCGATTTCTCTCTCCTCATTATCAGTTTTCATTCTCTCTCCTCCGATATTTGCATTCTCTCTCTCCTCCGTTTGCTCTCTCCCTCCGTTTGCTCACTCTCTCTCTTCCACCGCCGATTTGCTCTCTCTCCCCATCGATTTGCTCTCTCTCTCTTCCGGTCGACAGTT